CCCAGGCGTTCCTTAAGACCAAGATCATGGACAACATTCACAAGTACTTTTATTGCATCTGCTTTGCTGCCTACTTGCGCGAAGCTGCAATCTTGAGCAAGGACGCTGCTTCTGAGGAGGACAAGAAGGCCTTCTCTCTCACCGGAGGAAAGGTCTCCACCCCTGCCGACCAGCTTAAGATGTCCAAGACCTTTGTCCAGTACATGGACGAGCACTCCAAGCTTAGAACCATTGTTGATGAGGGCAAAGGCAAGCTCCAATGGGAGAGAGATATTCCAGCAGAGGCTTTGGCCAATCTGGAATCCCTTGCTTCCACTGACTTCAAGGGTAACCTTGGTAAGATCATTCATGACATCTACCAGACTGCCCATGGACTCTTCAAGGATCTTCCCCAGGGAGACCACAAGAAGCGTGCCAAGTATCGTTTCGCTTCCAAGACCCTTATGCGTGTTCTCCCCAATGATCTGAAGGCTGAAGTTGAAGGTTTGATTGCCAACCAAACCATGACCCTGGACCTGTACGAGATTCTTGGACAGTGCACCTGGGGCCAAGCTAAGGCATAATCTCCCCTTTCCTGCCACCCCCTCTACCCCTTCCCGTAACTAACTCCCAGAGAATGGAATTGAAAGGAACGCTGAAGAAAGATGTGGAAAAGAGAGATTTCATTCAGAAATTATATATGCATGGTCTACAAGTATAAGATGGTGAACTGTTGATAAAAACCCTAAATTGCTGTTATTATGAAACAATAAATATAAATTACGATATGTCAAATTTATAGTTATCAATAATTTAGTAAATGTTTGAATGTTTTATAAATAAACCAAAATTCTTTCTTAAGTTTTATTTCTGTAACTTTTAAATGACTTATTTTCTTGAGATTACTCCATGATAAGAATATTACACAAGTTCTTTATCACTACCTATCTAATCTCTAAAACTGGGAAAAGGTAATGGGTGGAACTATAAACTATTAAGCTAGAAAATCAAGATTAACTGTTAGTGTAATGATACGGGACCGTCAAATTGACGACTAAATTCTAAAAAAAAAACTTTATAAAGGTAAAATTTGATATCAGATGAAAAAGAAAATGGCCGATAGTTGTCACACTTATTAGTTCTATACAATGTTTCATGGATAATGATTAAATGATTCCTTATTATTGAAGATTTATTATAAGCTAGCTGAAGTGCCCGGCGTTGCCCGTGGAGTTTTTAAAAAATTTAAATATATATATACAAAAATCGATTTTTGAAAGAAAAAAAATTCAAATTTTTTTTGCCTTTGTTACCCCAGGGATACCCCTGGGTTCCCTAAAAAATGTCAGCCAATTTGGACCTGCCGTTTAGCCAGCATAACTAACATATAAAGATATATACATATATATATGAGCGAAGAGATTTATTATGTAGACTACGTTAAGAAATGGGAAAGATAATTGTCCAAGATGATTTATAAAGCGAAGCTCATTTTAAATTACATATCAGTCTTCAGTAATTTGTTCTTAACAATTTATACTTTTTCTAACTTTGAACTCATCAGAGATTATATAGATAAATACATGGTTGATTTCCCAAAATGTATGAGACTTGAGAGATGCCTTAATACGGAATGTTTACTATAATCATAGTTCTTTGCAGCTTAATAATAATAATAATAATGTGTTTCGACATTTTAAATTTATACTATTTATTTACAATCGGTTCGAGGATTAAAGTTCTGAAACCGTTTTACATTCAGCCCTGGTAGATGCAAAATTTGACATAGATAAATAGAAAAAGATTAAATTAAACATAATAGATAAAAAAAACAAGAACATATGAACAAATAATTGTTTTGTAAATCTATCTGATCTTAGTAAAATGTTAGTTAAGAAACACATGAAATATCTTGATGTCTCATTGGACAATCCATTGAAAGCTCTGATTTTACAAGAATGAATAATTTTTATGTTAAATGATCGATGATTACGTAATAACTGAAATGATAAATATGTTATGTAATGAGAAATGATCAATGTCACCCTTTTCTGCATAATTTTCCATATTTTTTGTTGTAAAACTATAGTTCCAAAATATCTAAACAAATTTAAAATACACCATTAATACATGTATGTGTATCTTTGTGTGTAAATAAATCTTTATAATAATAATAATGATAAAATAAATGGACACTGCGGTGCTGAAATAAAAAACATTGCACTTTTTCCTTCCAGTTTGAAATCATTTTGTTTAACTTTGAGACCTTATATTCAAGGGGGAAAAAGATCTAACTCAACTTTTAGAGCGTCAAGAGTTTAATCTGCAGTTGTTAACTCTGTGCAATGTATATCGTTTTTGCATTGCTGCAGACTGCAGAGATACTAAATTATGGGTAGTTAATCCATTCAGAAAGCATTAATTCATATCATTTCATGATCTTCCAAATTAGGTTCATTTTCTTGCTTTTAAAAAGATGTAGAATGTATATGCAGATGTAGATATAGAATGTAGATGCAGATGTAGAATGTAGATACAGATGTAGATTGTAGAATGTAGATGTAGCTGATAGGAACAACTACGGATATCAATCCCATGTCACAGAATAATCTACGTGGATACGGCGAAAATAATTTTTGAATATAGAACTTTTAATAAATTATTCAAATATATGTAATTTTTTATGTGGTGGAACTGATCCCAGTACAGTACGAGAACAGGGCCGGTACGAATTTTGTAGAGCAGTCACAACCTGACACGTATAGTATTAGTCTTCAATAGATGATACTTGAGAGACGACTATGCTGGATTAGTCTTCAATAGATGATACTTGAGAGACGACTATGCTGGATTTGTTTAGTCTTCAATAGATGATACTTGAGAGACGACTATGCTGGATTAGTCTTCAATAGATGATACTTGAGAGAAGACTATGCTGGATTAGTCTTCAATAGATGATACTTGAGAGAAGACTATGCTGGATTAGTCTTCAATAGATGATACTTGAGAGACGACTATGCTGGATTTGCTTAGTCGCATTTCTATTCCAATTTGTGGTTCCCAAAATCTTTAAATTTACCAATTCTTACTACTAACAGATAACTAGGCTTTCCAATCGGAATTCCGTTGGGCGGAATTGCGCGCAATGGTTGCTTCCGCTTGCGCCATTTATTTTCGAAAAGGGAGCAATTAAATATTCGCGGAATAGCGTGCAAAGGAATTGCTTTTCGATCTAAAAATCAATATTTTTAACTGTTCGACTTACAGATTTATGCAACAATTACAAAAATGCAGAAATATCTCTGTAGATTTAAAAATAATCGATGCCCAAGTTTCACAATTGTTTCAACAGTTTTAAAATTTTTAAGTTTCTATTAATTTTCTATTTAATTAACAATTTAAAATGATACATTTTTCATTCGTTCACATTGGATGAATATTAAAATATCAAAATTATTTTGCTACAGTGAAAACCAGAAAACTATGGAACAGAAGGACAACATAGCAGAAAACATTTAGTAGTATCTTATTAAATCACTTATTCAGTTACATTGGTCTGCCAGAGTTTTCTGGTTATCATGCTGCAAATGAATATTATAAAACAAAAGATTAAGCTTAAATTCAATTTTCTTAGCATTTGGGTCTGAAATGTTCGTGCAGTTTAGTTTAGTGGATGCCACTTCCAAAATTTAAATTGAATTTTTTGTTGTTTGAAACGAATTGCGCAATTAAAATCCACTTGCGTTGGAAACACTACAGATAATCAATGACTTATTTAAAGACTAAAAACCAAATGTAACGGAATCACCCGGCCACATACAGGGTAACCCAAAAAAAGATGAGACTCCAAAGACGACTGTACGGAATTCCAACTATCTGTTTCCTTACAATCATGATTCCTTTTAAATGTAAGCTTGTTTCTTTCTTCAAGAAATCGTTTAAAAAGCCACAAAAACTATATTTAAGGCTGAAAACTTAATTTAATTTTAAGAGTTTCTTTACACTCGTATCCTTTGCGGGTAACATTTTTAGTTCGTTTAATATACATTAACATCACATCCTCTGCATCCTGTTTGGATAATTTCAACTGGCAAGACGTGTACATATTTTTTAAACACATCGAAAGAAAGACAATTTTGAAAACATTATTAAATATTTACTCTTTAAATATCTTTCTTCAGCTTATCGAAATCAATGACGAAAGTACTTTAACGCCAATTTTCTTTGAAATACACTGTAGAGATCCCTTCAAATAAGACGCTGGAATTTCACATTCAAATCAAATCAAATCAAATCATTCTTTTAATTTAAATTTATTTTCTCTTAATTTAATCAAAAATATATTCAATATTTCAAATTAATTCTGGAGTAAGACGACCTTCAAATCCTACCCAATAAGCAGACATGTGTTACAAAAAAAACTTGTGGCCAAAGCAAAACATATGCAGTGCACCCCTACCCCCCCCTTGCAAAAACGTACAATGTTAACCATCTATAAAAGGTTTTAAAGACCTCCCTTCTAAACCTTTTCCCTTTAAAATCCGACACTGAATTTCCAATTTTTCGTGAAAACGAAAAGTTTCTGTGTTTTTCAATTCTCGGTAATTTTTCGAATAGAAAAATATTTTTGTATCTAAATTTTAAAGAACCAGTCAGGGATGAACGACCATGTGCTGACTTAATTAATATTTTTCTCTTTAAACTGGTTTTATGCTTTGTCAGTTGTGTCCAACGATGTCATTAAAAAGACAACTTGAAAGTCGTATTTTTTATGACATTCCGTAGTCAACATACAAAATGTGGTCTGCCTTTTTTGTGCCGTCAATATTACAGGAGATATTAAGAATTTCGTTCAGATTTCAGTTTTGTTAAATAAAGCCAAAATTGTCGAAATCTCCGGTAATATTAAAAAGGCAGACCACATTTTGATGTTTTGGTCAAAGCTCCTTTTCTAAAGAGCTATTTAGAAGGAAAAAAATGTTGAATTCCTGATCTGCAACAAAATAAATTTACTTATTATACTTGATTTATCTATTATATATTTACATTAAGTGCAGATTCTTTTACATAGTGTACATAGTGTACAACACATACAGATCACATTTATTGATGATTATACAACTATAATTAACATGGCCATGGTCAACATTTGGTCACGTATGTAATGTATATTGTACATATACTAGTATACATGACATATTTAAAAACTTTTATTACAGATTCGATTAACATTCTTTTGTTTTACATAATAACATCATTGTTTATACATAGATAAGATAGCTTTTATGTACATTGTACTGTATGGCACAAGAATATATTGAAGCAATCTCTAGGCAGACTTAAATTAACAATTTTGGTGAAAGCATTTTGTCAAATTTTGATTAATCCAATAAAATATTTACATAAAGAATAATATATTAACTACATGCTGGATAATTTTTGATTGGAATCGTTTCCACATTTGGGGGGGGGGGAGGGAAAGTAGAAAATTAAAAATTGCTATGCACTGAATTAAAAAAACTGTTTTCGGTATTATCTACATATAGAAGCCTGTTTCTGAAACCAGATCGATGAAAGACAAAAGAAACTATATAAAAAATTTAAATTTCTGGACTAGAATGATAAAATTTCAGGGATTTTCTCTGAACTTTTATAACAGAGCTTAGAGATTCAAGTCCCTTTCGCCGAAAAAAAATCCTCTAAAAGTTTCTAACAATTCAACGATTGTTGTTTTTTTTTCTTCTCTCAAATATCTCCAAAAAAAAGTTAGTAGAAAATAATAGCCCCAAAAAAATGGAATGATTTACCGTGCATCAGAGGCGTAACATTAAACATGTTTTTTTTTTTGGGGGGGGGGTCTATTAAACCCTCCCCTTCCTATAAAAAAAATTTTAACACGCCCAATTGCATCCATTATTTAGAATTTATTTAATATATGATCACATACGCATTTAAATTGCAACCAATTGCTTTATCATCACGGAATAGAATAAAAAAGTTTTGCTTTGAAAAAGCACAATTTATACTTTGAACAAATGCATAAAAAAGTGCCTCATAAAATTAAGATTCGTAAAACATTAAATTCAATAAGATCGATAAAACGTGAACCACCAAATATAGATAGATGTTGGCAGTACAATTTCATCAGGTTGAATTCAAATATATAACAAGTGATAACGATCTACTGAATAAATGATGTGCGTGAATGTTGTACATATTTGGAAGCTGTACATTGATCGTACATGGAAGCTAGGCAAGTACATGCAATGTTGACGATCTCTGCGATCTGGCCGATCTTTTTACTCACAAAATGAATATCAATATTTTTTGTCAAATAAAATATTAAGCTGTTTCCGGAATTCCATAAAAAAAAACTTGTTCCGCCTTCTTAGATTGTTTGAGCAAATGAAGTTTTTAAGTAGTTCAGAACATGAAACATCTTTCTCTTTGTTAAACAATTACTGTGTCGAGAGATGGAGAGATGTTACTGGTAGAAACCAGATATCTCAACCATGTCAGATAATAGATCCAGGGAAAAAATGCTTAATATTTCCAGGTTTGCGTGATATAATTTTTAAAATAATCATTATCCTATGAATAATTTAGGTTACCAGAATTCGGAATCCGGAATCTACCCTTCTAAAACAGAATTTTGTTTTTTGATAAGGGAATTGACAAAACTTTGCAAAAGAAATGTAAAACTTTAAAAACAGAAAAATTATTATTAACTGTTTAAAAATAAGAAACAATTGCAGAATATCATTAATTTGAAAAGATCCCTTTAAATATCCCCTTTGCAAGTTCCCTCGACAAGTTTGCACACCTTGAATAATTGTTATGCATTAGTTTAATTCTAGTCTAAGTAAACAAAAATGCACAGTGCACAGTGAGCACAGTGAGCACAGTAAGCACAGTGAGTACAGTGAGCACAGTGAGCCCAGTGACCACAGTGTGTACTGTGTACTGTGTGTACTGTGTGTATAGTGGAGTAAATTGAAAAAGTACAAATTATCTTGTACCTTCGCACTGTACAGTAGTTAACACAAATGCACAGTGCACAGCATTTTAGCATTATGGGAATTTTAAAGTGTTTTAATAAAGGAAAGTCTATTTGCTGTAAGACTAAATGTAGCCATTTGTGTATACAATACATTCTACAGAGTGCAGGTTTAGTGTACGTATATTTTTTTGTGTGCACAATGTATGGTGTATATTTAAGTTTTTAAAAATTTGGTTGAAAATTACGCATTTTTGAACAGACAAATCTATTGTTTAATGAGTAATAACTAACTTAATTAAAGAGAAACATCACATTCAACATGTCTGTGGAAATATTTGGTGAGAGGGCAGTATGCAGATTTCTCAAATGGGATACGAAAATCGTTAATGCATAATATTTAAATATAGGTGAGTCTGCTGTAAACGGAATTCGTATGGTTTAGCCTAATTCCAAACCGAAGTCTGGCATTTCGAAATTTTACTCCGCTCTAGCTTAAATGTCATGGTCTTGCTATTACATGAGAAATATAAGAATACGAGAAAAGAAGATAAATATTTACAGAGTTGGCAGTTACATATGTTTCAGGCTTGTTAAACACGAATGAGATTTCCAACTCTATAAAAATGTATACGCTCATAACCATACTTGAAAAAATATCATAAATTGACTAAGAAAATAATTTAAAAGTTAAACCGAAAATGTTTAGAATAAATTGATTAAAAAGGTCAGCATCGATTGTTGAATCCGGTAAAGAATATTAACCGACAATTTTGGTTCAGCTCTGAAGATTAAAACTCCAACTCTTGAAGTAGGGTTAATCTGAAAAAGAGAAAATTTAGCAAGAAGATCAAAGCTGATTTTGAGTCAAACAGAAAACATGCAAATGAAGAAAAACTTAAAATTACCTCAAGTTTTTTAATCCGATTTGTTGTGTACTGGGATCATAGGCTGGTGGGTTGGGGATTGAACTTGGCTCAGAGAAGAACTTGAATCCTCTTGAATCCCTAAATCCCCTTCTTCAACATCCTCCACAGCTCCAGGTCCATCCAATCCATATCCTTTATCCAGGGACGCAATACTCCCGACAATATCTCCCATGTTGATCCCTCCCTCCAGCTTCTCCTTCTCCTCCCTCTTCTTGATCAGCCACCAGGTCAACACGAAGATAAGAAAAGCAAGAGCTTTTATCCCGGCACAGATCCCAACATACTTGTATCTAAAGAGTTCTATATCATAGAGTAGACACCTTCCCCCGGCTCCCTCACAAGTCTGCTTCCAGAGTAGGCAGGTAGAGTCTATAACAGCACCAAACATAATCGGACTAGGAATATAACCAAACAGTCGGAAGATAACGAACTGTATTCCCAGCGCGAACGCTTTCTCCTCCTCCTGCACACTTCTCAGGGTCACCATGACCAGGGGCATCTGAGTAATAGCAACCATGAGGGTCATAAAGAATAGAAGAATCATGAAGGGATAGATCATCTTGCACTCTACATAACAGGGTCCGGAGGTTGCTATGGGAACCCTCGTAACTCCGGAGCCATGACTTGGATTAAACCCAAGATCGTCTTCCCCAACACATGCACAGTTTGTATAATTATCATTGGAAAGGAGGGAGGTGCATCCAGCGTGGCAGGGTGAGAAGTAGGTCAACCCGTTGGCTCCACAAACCGGCTGCACGTCGTTTATATCACAGGAACATCCGAGATTACAAGAATCTGTCAGATTCACCTAAATAATAAATAATATAAGAAAAAAAAAAAAAGAGATTGTAGATTTATTTAACGTCTAATTTTCCTTTGTATAGTCAGCAAAGTATGAAACATTATAATAATTCTAAAATAATTTAAATTTTCAAACATAAACACCTAAAATGTAACACATTAAAAAATGTCAATCTCCATTCAAATCGTTCCAAAAACTAACTTTAAACGCGTTTTTAATGAATGGTTTACTTTTTGAATTAAATCAAATTAAAAATTTTATATTGTCGGACATTATTTGATTTGATCCTGGTAGAAAATATATTTATTTACCTGAAATAACTCCGTACTATTGATATTATACGGAGATGTTGCTCCTGCCATGTTAACGTTGCTGCACCCCAAGAGGAACAGCATCCCATAGAAACAGAAACAAAGTACGTTAAACAATATTGTCATCTGTATTGCTCCCCTAGGACCAAGCTGTAACCTCTTGAGCATATATCCACCCAGGAAGATCCCAATGCAAGCTCCGGGTATAGCTGTCCCTCCTGTTAGCAAGGACGCCTCAGACTTGCTCAGGCTAAACTGGGTTTCAAGATACTTTGGTAGGAAGACGACAAATCCGGAGACGATGACAAGCTCCATGCACGCACCCATACATGCCGCCAGGTAGACCCAGTTAGTGATTAGTTTCCAGATACATCTTGGCAAATCTTTTAGATCCTTCCCATAGGTTCCCTCTTCCTTCACCTCGGAATCATTCTCCGGAGTCCTGACGGTCTTATCCTCAAGGTTGGATTTATTATACTTCTCCAGAAGGAAAACCTTTCTCTTCTCCCGCTTCAACTCCTTGGGAAAAGCAAAGAACGGTATTGAGATGAGAAGCATAAGAGCTCCACAGATGAGAAACCCTCCCCACCACATTCCAACCCAGTGTCTACTACTAGAGTCTATATTGAGCTTGGCAACGTCTTCATTAAATGTATCGACGAAGAAACTAAGGAGATAGGCTCCAAGCAGAAACCCTACTACAGGTCCAAATGCAACAGTACTGTACATGAAACCTATGTACACGCTAGCAGCATCTCTCTGCACATGATCATCGATGTATGTTGTACCAAGGGTGAGAAGAGGTGAGCCTCCACAACCCAAGAATAATTGAGCAATCATAAAAACAAAGATGGGAAATGCTGCAGACTGAGATGTTTCCTGGATACAGTTGTTCTCCCTCGTAAACTGATTGTTGTGTCCGACAATAGGTGGAGATGATAAACCCTTGAGATTATCTGACTCCAGGAGCTGGTTTAGTTCTCCTTCTTGTATCTGCTCCAGGACGCTCTTCTGCTGGAAGTTATAAGAAACATGACAAATATTCTCGTCTGACGAATTATCAAAGGATAAGCTGTATGAATCTGATATGAAGTGGGGCAAGGAGAAAACAATTGATCCTATCCCCATCACAATTACACCGCAACCAATAAACATTGGTATATGTCTCTTGGAGCCCAGATAGGAGACAAATATCACAGTTCCTACATTTCCAATCTCGTAAAAGGAAGCTATAATGCCAGATATTGAAGACGGTATCTCATACCTCTTCTCTATTGTTGTGATTACTGAGTTTAAATATCCAGAAGATAAAGCTTGCTGCAAGGTAACCAGCATAGACAGTAGGAGGACGAATACCTTAATAGAGGCCAGAGGTTGAGCACATTGAGGTTTACAGGCTAGATATCCACAGTCCATGAGAGACGAGAAATCGTCCTCAAGTTCTTCTTCGTCCGGATGAGACATTCTTCTATCCTTCTGAATATTCTGAAGAAGCTCCGATGTCGTTTGGGCTTCAATAGCGCCTCCAGTCAGTTTGTCAAGTACGTCAACCAGTGCTCCGCTAGCAGTCCGTTTGTGTCCTGGAACAAACCCGGCAGAATGGGTTCGCATGTGATTGTATCCAACCGTGTGAGAGTGAGAACGTTTATGTGTCATTTGATTTCGTATCATTGATGTTGCAGAGCTGGAAGTTGATCTTTTATGAGTTTTTAAACTTTTACAGGGTTCCTCAGAGGGACTGTGGGAAACATTTTCTCCGTACAAACCACTGATTGTGTATACATTGGCCGGGGGAGGTGGAGGTGGGGCAGACCCAGGTTCCCCGCCCTCACTGCTCACTAAACTAGAGGTAGTTATCACTGAGTCTGGTCTATGGAGATCTTGTAACACTTGAAGTTTATCATAGGACGGTAAATCTAGATCAGAGCTATGTCCCCGTCCGTTTTCCAGGTAACTTTTAGATCCGGAACTTCGTGCTCCATCTGTTCTTGCAAGGCTAGACGGATTGGACGAAGCAGCTCCAGTCTTGTAGGACGCAAGAACGGGGTTCTCCATCCTTATAATATCCCTATCCTGTGACCTACTGCTCCTTTGTCTGTTGAACGGCTGGACCAAGGACGGAGCAATCTGATTTTTTGAAGAACTTCGCTGTAAACTATTCTCAGCTTTAAATGGATTGTCCTGAAATTGATGTTTCAAAATAATATTTCCAATTTTCTAGTGATAAGTTTGTTAGAAACTTTTGATGCAAACTATCGAGGAAAGTCCTTCTCTATGATCTATTCATAAATAAATCCGGGAAATTTGAACCTTCAAAGAGATAAAATTTCTGATTTGATTTTGAATCTCAATCTCAAAACTGGAAGCTTTCGCTCCCGCAGGAAGGTGAAAATTCATAACAGAATATTTTCAGAATAAAGAAATTGTAAAAAAACAAAAGTTCAGAACTCTCTTAGAAGATTCAATATGAAGTTTTTACAAAATTATAAACTTAAGTCTTATAGGTTGAAAAAAGTAAGTTTTGAGCTGTTTCAGTTTTCAAATAGAGAAGAGAGTGCAGAGATCCAAATTAAAGTTTTAAACTATTCATAGAGGGTATTAGGACTGAAAGAAAATTAAAATAAATTTTCCTAAAAAACTAAAACGATATTTTATGAATAATTAAGAAAGTGAACAATCTTAAAGAAGTGATATTAATTTCTTAAAAAGAAAAGAAGGAAATTTTTTTGGTTTCATCCCTGTTTATATTGAGACTGGGAGCTGTCTACAGAATCTACCGGACAAGGATAAACTGAACCTCTTCTCGCATCCTGTTCTCCTTTCCATCCGTCCTTCTCTCTCAGCTCCATGGTTCTTCTATGGAATCAGAATCGGACTCATCTGAAAGAAAAAAATAATTAAAAGTTTGTCATCCAAAAAAAATCAACAAAACAAAAAGGGAACTTTTTAAATAGGATTTAACAATTTGCCATTGTAACGGTTTCCTACTGGAAAATATTTCAATTAATTAGTTTTAATAATAAACTCATTAAGCTGCAAGACACGAAATATGGTTGGACCTTGAAGTCAGAAATATATTTATATCTAAGATCAAATCTGCCCTAGTTTAAACAAAGAAAATACAGCTGTGTCTGTATATAAATAACAGTTTAAAAATGTGCTAAAACATACTGAAATGACATGTTGATAAAAACTCGGTTCTGTTGTATACTGTGTTAAATACTAAACAGAGTATTGAACTTTAAACTTCTATCATCTGTAAATGGAATCAATTTCGTGTTAATTTTTTAAATATTTTATATTTTGCATTAATTTAAGAGTAAAATTAATTAATCTTTTTCTTTTATCGTTAAAAAGAAGATTTTCATTAGTATTTAAAGGGACAGACCGGCTATGTAAGGTAGTTAAACTGAGTATGCAGTGTTGTGGAAACATTCAATAGGATTCATTTGAGACAAATAAAACTTTTTAAAGATCTGTAAATCCTGAGTTTGAGCGCAAAGTCAACGTTTAAAACTCCTACTTTGGGGGTGGATAGGTTTACAAAATTGTTTTTTTTTTCAATTATTAGATAACGACGACGAAAAAGGTAACCAAAATTCTACAGTAAACTAATTAGTTGTTTAGGAATAGGTTGAGAAAACAAAAATTAACTCTTTATCATCGAAAATAAGTAGTCTTATACAATTAATAATTTCTATAATCTCTCTTTAATCACAAAGATTTTCTGCAGATTTTCTGGAATTTTTATTAAAAAGACAACGTTTGAAAAATGCGAACAAATTCATAGAAAATAAGAAATTCAATATAATGATGAAAAAGGAAATTATTAATTCCAACTTCGATTTATTGATAAATTTCTTTTGAGAAATATATGTTCCTAAGCATCTAATTAGTTTATTATAGAATTTTTACTATATTTTTCGTCGTCGTTATTTCATAATTAAAAAAAACCGATTCTGAAAACGTACCCACCCAAATTCGTGATTTTGAACGTCGACTTTGCGCTCAAACTCAGTAATTTCACATCGTGGAAACGTTTTATATACTCAGCTTAACTACCAAACATAGCCGGTCTGTCCCTTTAAGGTAAGAAGATTTCTCATCCAAGTAACAAGTTTAGAAGAAAAATAAAATTTAAAAAATTCTCGTTCTTTGTTTATTTATTTTTGTACGCCCCCCCCCCTTGCTAAATAACCTATTAAAATCAAACATCTCCACAATGCAAACCACTAAAATTGTAATAAAGTGCATGTGCGAAAATATGGTTTAAAAAAACAGTTGTTAGTGAATAGATAACGAGAAACATTACTTTAAACTGTAATGAATCTGGACGCAATAATCATTGTATAACAGGATTGTTCTACAAGAACTCCTTCAGGAAATTTCTATGAAAATATAAAAAAATGTCCGATTTACTAAGGTACCTTTATCTGATCAAAAATGTCAAAGATATCGTCAATTTTCTGTCTTGAAAACTAATTCATTTTAACAATTTCCTAACTTTTTCGGCGTCACTTTTTACAGAAAACCCCGATCAAATTATTTATTTTTAAAGAGGAAAACATGAATATCTCATTCATTCTTGTTCGGACCAAGTTATTACGGGTACTTTGTTGTGAATCTGACATGGTACTCTAAAAATAGTACTCTAGAGTCCCTTCCCATCCTCAAAAATATTTTAGAAGTTTTTTATAGTAAATTTTTTTTATTTAGTGGGGGAATGACAGTTTTTCAGCAAGTTTTTTAGTCGTCATAAAAACAAGTGACTGGTCCCTTAGAAAATATATAAATAAGTTACATCTGGTTATGAAAGGAAAATGCAGAAAACAAGTTTACATTTAGATCAAAGTATTAAGGNAGCGGGCAAGGGAGAAGGTATTAGATTAAGAGACAGGTTTAAATAAAGAATAAAATTTTCTAACAAATATTTCCAGACAAGGGTTTCTGATCCGTTCTCAAAACTGGTTTACAGAGCTTCCAAATAAAGTTAAATATCAAAATTATGATGTGACATTCGATCAAGTTAAATTCTAGATGAAAACCGTTTTTAAGTTGGAAGATTTTTTCCTTTTTGTGTCGATTCTTAAAGTAATTCAAGTAGACTTGATGTTTGAGTGTTTTTAATTATTATTTTGCAATTCATTTTTAAACGATTTTTTTTGCACTTTACGTATTTTTTATTTTGACTTGTCATATCATTATTGCTAAATCAAAAGTTTTAACTGTAACAAAATCTAAATTTTAAATTTTCTCAATGTAAAATATAATTTTTATTTTGCTCATAGAAAAAAAGTACGAAAAACTCAACTTACTCAAATATATTGTATATATAATGTAAAAAATGTTTTATAAAAGAAAAGCTGCTTTTAAATGAAAAAGTGGTATCAAATCTTAATTTTTGACAATATATCGAGATATTTTAGATATCTTGGAACTTTCCATGCAAAGGCGTTAAGGGCAAGAATGCCAGGCGACCTTCATCCCTAGCTTTTCTAAGTTGAGGGGGAGGGGTGCCCCCCCCCCCCTGCATCTCTTAGAGATTATAAAAACAAACTGGGCAAACTATCGAAATATAGGAAAAATGACATGATTTTTCTCTGAAATATTTAAAATATTCGAAATTATAATTAATTTTAAGTAAATGTTAATCAGATTTATGTAATCTTACAAATCAAATTACAAATTTCTGACCCCCCACCCCCTCTTAAAATACCATAAATGCGACAATATTTCCATTTACCCTTTATAAAATAAGTTCATAACCGATAAACTTATAAACCAGTTTATAACTGGTCCAAGTATTAGACGGAGCAACAACATGGTTTTATCATATTGAACCAAACTGAACCCAACCTGGCTATTATCCAAATGATCCTGTTCTCATATATTTACATTTATAATTTTAATTATTATTAAATAAGTATCATAAATAAAGATTTGCATTTAAATAATTTTTCATTATAAACACGATCTATCTTAAATAATTATCCTCCATCTAAGATAACATCCGCCATTTAAAACAAACAATCTTAATCTTGAATAAAGATCCTCCATCTTGAATAAATATCCTCCATCTTGAATGAATATCCTCCATCTTGAATAAATATCCTCCATCTTGAATAAATATCCTCCATCTTGAACAAATATTCTCCATCTTAAATAAATATCCTTTACCATGGATACATATCCTCCATCTTAAATAGGTATCCTCCAATTCGAACAAATATTCTCCACTTTGAATAAAAATCCTACATCTTAAATAAATATCCCCCATCTTAAATAAATATCCCCCATCTTAAATGAATATCTTCCATCTTGAATAAATATCCTCCATCTTGAATAAATATCCTCCATCCTGAATAAATATCCTCCATCTTGAATAAATATCCTTCATCTTGAATAAATATCCTCCATCTTGAATAAATATTCTCCATCTTATAATAAGCTTCTTATTTAACAAAAAAAAAGGTAAAGAAACCCTGTAAAAAAAAAGAATTTGATCCTATAAAACTCTTGTTTCTTTCCCCCTGGAATAATATTTGAGTAATTTAAAATTCTTCTAACGTTCCAACAATAAAGAGCAGTGAGTTTTACTTCACTTCAGACCTCATTAAACATCAGTTAAAGATGTGGTTGTAGAAAATGATTTAAAGGAGATGAAAGTAAAGATTTTTAAGAAGACATGTAAACAAGGGCGACCAAGAGTAGAAAAATGAAAACAGGGCAAAACAAAAATTAAAAACAAGACAACGCAGAATTGAAGCAAAATAACCGTCAAGAGAGAATGACAAGAAAAGAAAGACAAGGGCCGGGAAAAACAACATGAGCCAGAACAACAAATGAAGAAAAATAAGAAAAGAGAGTTGGAAAAAGAAATGTAATGAAAAGAAGTAGCAAAGAAAAAAATAGCAAAATAATGATATTGAATCGGAAACAGAAACGTGCAGAATGAAAAATATGCCATAAAATGTTTGGCCAACCTAATCATTTTTATTCTTGGCAGCATGCGACTTTTTATAAACTGTTTCATTAAACTTATTTATCAAGTATATTTTACATAATTAATTCTGATTAAATCCCTGAAACAATAGTTGCTGGGACCAGGCGTAGACTAATTACATACCTGAAAAATAAAAAAATCTTAAGACTGCGTAGTTTTTTTTTTATAATTTACAAATTGTGTTAGTCTGCTTAACAGTTATATCTAGTATATAAAGTCAACTATCTAGTCTATTTAGTCAGCTAGTCTGCTAGTCTGCTAGTCAGCTAGTCATCTAGTCATCTAGTCTGCTAGTCTGCTAGTCTGCTAGTCTGCTGGTCAGCTAGTCTGCTAGTCAGCTAATCAGCTAGTCTGCTAGTCAGCTAATCTGCTAGTCAGCTAGTCTGCAAATCAGCTAGTCTGCTAGTCAGCTAGTCTGCTAGTCTGGTAGTCGGCTATCTAACAAGTCGTCTACCAAGACGTCATTAAAAATGTTTTGGAGAATTGTCTCTAAACTTCTTTACTAGACAAAGAACTTAACTGTAGCAATATTTTTCTTTCAAAATTTGAACAACAAAGACAAAAAAGAAAATATATCAGAAATTTTATCCAGTTCTATCTGTCACATAAACATCAAAACGTGATCATTGTAAAAAATCTAAATAAAGATATGTGGAAACACAAGAATACACGTTAAAGTAAAAGACAAGTTTTGACCAAATGTAAAAAATGGAACTTTATGATTCGGTTATTGTCCTTAGTGAGGTAAATTTCTCTAAAGTATATTGCATAAAAGCGTAAAGTGGATGTCGTCGTAATTTTAGGTGACCCCCCATTTATAGAGGGTTTGCCCGATTCACAACGGTACTCAGATAGAAATGCGGAAGATAATGTGAAGTCGTCTTTCTGGTTAAATAAGTGTTTAATTCAGTTTAGTTCACCTTTGTTCCTGAAGCAAGAAATGCGCAACAGTTTTCAAAAACAAAGGGTACTAAGGATACTATTGTTATTTGGACTTGTCTCTATAACAACACTTTATGTTACGTTTCAGTCCCTTTAAAGTAAGTATTCACATGTATTGTTTATGTCTCCTTTAATGATTAAACTTCAGTTCATCGATTCATCCTGAGTAACTGAACCATCCGGGAAAACCAACCAGAACCCTGAGAGAAATCAATCCAAAACCAATAATTTATTATCAGTTTAGAAAGAAAGAAAGAAAGAAAGAAAGAAAGAAAGAAAGAAAGAAAGAAAGAAAGAAAGAAAGAAAGAAAGAAAGAAAGAAAGAAAAAAGGAAGGAAGGAAGGAAGGAGAAAAACTAAGAACAAAAGTTAAAAGAAACTGAGAAGGTATTCAACAACAAAAAAATTATTTAAGAATTAAAAATCTAAACCATGGAAGCTAACCTTCACCAAAGTTTGAATGTTAAAATATGCTCAAAGTTTATGAAAGTTACAATTTGTAGTTAAATAATTTTATGAATTCTGCCAGGTTATAAAACAAAGAAATTAAATCCTACCAAATTGTTTTAGCTCATCAGTATAAAACTGTACATTAAGTCTGGAAAACAGGAAAATCCTTCCATGTGAAAGCTATACGAACCGAATCCTAATTCTGGCAGAATTCTAGAAATCGAAAGGTTTTCTGAAGTCAGGAAATCTTGTTTTTCTCAACCCTAGTATATGCAATGAAAGGTTGATGGTAAAAGTGCAGAACTCAAATAATATTTTCCCTTCATTTATCTCTCAACCAGCAGTTTTTTCTCAAATTTATTCTAATCCTAAGTTCTACATCTGCAAACTAAAACTAATGTGAACCTTTTTTGCAAAAAAATATTTTTTCACAAAAAAGTGTAAAATGGAGAACCAATTTACTTTTTGAAATTTAATTTTTTCAAATTCTGGCCAGTTTTTTAATTTTGTAATCCAACTAGAAGGGATTTAAAAAGATTAAATTTGTAAATAATGTTGGATAAAAAGCTGATATTCATGGATAAATAGGATATTAATGGATCTAAAGAAAGATATGAAAGGATCTATGAAATGAGGAAATATTTAACAGGACTTCAAGTTATATTTTTTCTTAAAAGATTTATTTTAACATTGTTTCTTCGTTAACAATATAAAAAGATATAATCTTAAATCTTGCGAATTTATCTGTTGTTAATAGCAGATTTTCATAATTTTTCAAAAATTGAAACAATTTTTGGCAAAATTGTTTTAATACAATCAAAATGTACATCTTTTATAAAAGATAATCTTTAAATGTTTGTAAAAGGTAAACTGATTTGATTTTGAAGAGATAATTAATTCTGTTAATGACCAATTAAGAAGACTAGGAACAAATTAAATAACTAACGAGAAGTGACTGAACCACGCAGACGTAGTTTAACCTCGTCTCTTGTACTCCGGTTCAAGCTGAAGAGAAGTGTTTGAACCACGTCTGTCCGGTTCAACCATGTCTATTAGATGAATAAAAACTATTGTTAAAAAGTTCATCACACATTATTTCATAACATTTTAGTGAGTTTCAAAGAAATAAGACTCGCTTAGTTAAGGGCCCATCTCAAACCCCTAAGAGAGTGAATAGCTTAGTTAAGGGCCTATCTCAAACCTCTAAGAGAGTGACNTGTATTGCAGAGGGATATAGAAACATCATGCATTGCAGACGGATATCTTAAACCCCTAAGAGAGTGACTAGCTTAGTTAAGGGCCCATCTCAAACCCCTAAGAGAGTGACTAGCTTAGTTAAGAGCCCATCTCAAACCCCTAAGAGAGTGAATAGCTTAGTTAAGGGCCCATCTCAAACCCCTAAGAGAGTGAATAGCTTAGTTAAGGGCTCATCTCAAACCCCTTAGAGAGTGACTAGCTTAGTTAAGGGCCCATCTCAAACCACTAAGAGAGTGACTAGCTTAGTTAAGGGCCCATCTCAAACCCCTAAGAGAGTGAATAGCTTAGTAAGGGCCCATCTTAAACCCCTAAGAGAGTGACTAGCTTAGTTAAGGGCCCATCTCAAACCCCTAAGAGAGTGACTAGCTTAGATAAGGGCCCATCTCAAACCCCTAAGAGAGTGACTCGCTTAGTTAAGGGCCCATCTCAAACCCCTAAGAGAGTGAATAGCTTAGTTAAGGGCCCATCTCAAACCTCTAAGAGAGTGAATAGCTTAGTTAAGGGCCCATCTCAAATCCCTAAGAGAGTGAATAGCTTAGTAAGGGCCCATTTCAAACTCCTAAGAGAGTTTAAATATGAAACTTAACAAATTTTTCGTGTTCGTTCAACAATTCTCTTAAAATTCAACCAATTTACACAATGAGGTAAATCTGGTGGGAAACTACAGCAGGCTGGAGTTAAGGTATCCTCCATACCCACGTAAAAAGGTTGGCTGAACAGCTGTAATTACTGTAGTAAATTAAAGCAAATTTAGGCGACAAACCTTAAATTCAAATTAATTCCATCAAAATATCCCCCCTCAACTCCCCACACACATGTATACACAACAAAACCCGGTAAATAATAAAAAATTCAAACATTAACACTAATTTGCAATTAACTATTTAAATTAATGAGATATTTATTAAAAACTTTCTTCCGATTCCTTGTCATATTCCTGTTTTAATGTAAAGTGATCATCAGTTTAAAAAGTGGCTTTTCTGATTCACAACAGTACCCATATAAAGCTTTGTCTGATTTAGATACCCATATGTTTTCCTTGAAAATTAACCATGTTTTCCTTGAAAATCAATTATTTTCAATTGTGGTTTCTTATTTAAAAAAGTAAGTAAGAAATTGTAAGTTAGTAAGTAAAGTAAGTAAATGTGTAATTAAATTTATACAACAGAAAACACGGAAGAAATTGCAAAAATTATACACTTTACAGCTAGAAAAACGACGATATCTTCTGCATTATTTATCAAATAAAGTTCTTCAGGGTGCCGTTGTGATCTCGGACTTGGAGGGACACGAAAATACAACGGTATATTCCCTGATCCAAAAATCGTTCACTAGGACACCCCAATACAACGAGTCTCTTTAAAGTGCAGTTTTTATGAAATTTAGGAAACAAGTAACAAGTTATATAATATATCAGTAATTTAGATATCTGTCATAAAATGAACCATATTACGATTTACAAACAAACCTGAACAATAATCACTACCGCGCTAGAACTTCACATGTATCTGTATTAAAATCTGAACGTTTACGACACTTTTTCAAACTTTGTTCACTTCACTGTACAGGATAGTACGATATTACTATACCAATATCTGTATGTAGCGTGCATGCACACAACTTGTTGCTTTACGCAAGTTAGATAAGGTTAAGACAGTGGCTGGTGCAGAGTAGAGGCACGACGCACGTACACTGATCTTGAATATACCTGGCTACACCATAGCTACACTGCACCCAGTGTTCACAATAACCTTACGCGCGCGTACTGCACAGTTCATCTGCCCAAGATCTCTAAGCACAAAGCAGTGAGCACCTTGAAAACAAACCCAGCCCGGGGATATATGAATCGTAAGGAAATGAGTAAAGCAGGTTTTGTAAACTGCTTTTATAAATATAATGTTGCTAAGGCAAGAGAACGCACGGGAAAATATCATCCCACCTTTTTCCCTCCCATTATTTTTACAATCATATGTGTGTGTTTCTCAAGATCGTTATATACAGTAAAAATATTAGACAGCTAGCTAAATATTTGACATATATCTAAGATAAATGTTAAATATAATCTAGGCTGCACTGAATTCAATAATACTAGATTTAGTTTTCAGATTCTAGGTCAGAACGTTTTAAGTGTTAATTATACCAGAACGAACTTATCACTATCATATGTAATCTGAGCTGGGAACTTTTGAATGGTGGATATCGGGATTAATGCTTGATCCGCTCTTTTTCTTAATCTCGAGATTAACTTATGCTTGTTTTCCTCTTGTTACTAATCTTCAGATTTATTAACCGATCGGGATTAAGGATATCCCATTCTAAAGTTTTCAGCTCTGGACGGACTAAGTTAATTCCTTTAGGAAGTACAATCATTTAAAAGCCAAAAATAATCTGCCCTAAGCTAAGAATAAATTGCGAAGATGTCAATTGTTTCTCATAAGCACGTGATTGCTATGGAAATTGAGTAACGTCCGTCATGTAAACAAAAGTTTCTACCTGTCTGGCAAGTTAAACAGAATGATGAATTAGGTTAAGACTAGATTAACCCCCTAGGATTAATTATTGGTATTTTAGATATATGATTGTATAATGCAACTCAGCCTTAAAAATCATGGAGTTTTAAATCACAATATATTTTCATCTGATGATAGTATGAAGTAAGTCAATTTATCACAAATTCAAATGTAAAAGGTAGATTTTTGGTTTTGATTTAGTTAATTTTTTCTTGTATTGCAGATGGATATAGAAACATCTTGTATTGCAGATGGATATAGCAACATCATGTATTGCAGATGGATATAGGAACATCATGCATTGCTGATGGATATAGAAACATCCTGTATTGCCGATGGATATAGAAACATCATGCATTGCAGATGGATATAGAAACATCATGTATTGCAGAGGGATATAGAAACATCATGCATTGCAGACGGATATAGAAACATCATGTATTGCAGACGGATATAGAAATATAATGTATTGTAGACGGATATAGAAACATCATGTATGGCAGACGGATATAGAAACATCATGTATTGCAGACGGATATAGAAATATCATAAATTGCAGACGGATATAGAAACATCATGTATTGCAGACGGATATAGAAACATCATGTATTGTAGACGGATATAGAAACATCGTGTATTGCAGACGGATATAGAACTATAATGTATTGTAGACGGATATAGAACTATAATGTACTGCAGACGGATATAGAAACATCATGTATTGCAGACGGATAAAGAAACATCATGTATTGCAGACGGATATAGAAACATCATGTATTGCAGATGGATATAGAAACATCATGCATTGTAGACGGATATAGAAACATCGTGTATTGCAGACGGATATAGAACTATAATGTACTGCAGACGGATATAGAAACATCATATATTGCAGACGGATATAGAAACATCATGTATTGCAGACGGATATAGAAACATCATGTATTGCAGATGGATATAGAAATATAATGTATTGCAGACGGATATAGAAACATCATGTATTGCAGATGGATATAGAAATATAATGTATTGCAGACGGATATAGAAAATGTTAGATTGTATTCAATTGACCACCAATTTGTATTTCGTCCTTGCTTTGTTTTATACTTTTTTCCGGAACCAAACTGACAATAGATGAGAAATTATACAGAGGGGAAATAGAAAAATCACAATTTGTCGTTTTTCACCTTAAATTAGAATTTTTGCATCTGAAGGAAGTGACGATTCGCATAAAACTTAGATTTTATAATACTCTTAATACCTGGTTTGATACCTGATGTTGAAAACCTTTATTTTGTCAAAATATGAATTCTGCCATACAAAATACTCAAAACTTAAAGTTTTAAAGTTATAAAGTTTTAAAGGTTTACAGGTAGATATTGGGAATTCCAAAATTAGAGTTTGGGACGAAAATCATTGCTTTTAATAATATGGCTATATTTAGGTTGCATGTAAAAAATGTAACTCTGGCTTGTTTGAATTTCTAAGTGTCCACTCTGAATGAGGGGAGCAGGATAAAACGTGAGGGATTAATTACAGAACCTTAATCTGAGATAAGATGGATGACTGGATAATTGAATAAGTTTCGCCAGGTTAGGACGGAGCAGATGTTTTCTAATAATATCCATTCTGCACTAGAACCTTAGATTATGTTTCATTTTACAATATAGTAGAACAAGTACTATATGTACATCGTTTACAGCAAAGTACACTAAAGTTTATAGTTCTGTCTACAGTGCAGGAAAAGAAACAATTTGTCTACATACACTATCAGTTTCACTATTTAGAACTACTACATGCACAGTCAATTGTGCAATATACTAAAATTTGCAGTACTTCAGATTTTACATTTTCTTTGTATAGTTAAGTTTGCAGTACAGTAGAATATGTAGTACTAAGATAATGAATTTTATCAAGTTCTTTGTATAGTCAAGTTTGTAGTACAGTATTCAGTCCAATACAGTACAGTACAGTATCCAGTACTAAAGATTAGGAGTTTAACCAGTTCTTTGTATATAGTCAAGTTTGCAGTACAGTAGAATATGTAGTACTAAGATAATGAATTTTATCAAGTTCTTTGTATAGTCAAGTTTGTAGTACAGTATTCAGTCCAATACAGTACAGTACAGTATCCAGTACTAAAGATTAGGAGTTTAACCAGTTCTTTGTATATAGTCAAGTTTGCAGTACAGTAGAATATGTAGTACTATAAATAAAGAAGTTCCATGTACAGTCAAGTTGATGGCCAATATGATGTTCATTACTAAAGCTTTACTGTACCGTATAATGTAATATAGTTCAATAAATTTCAACTAAATTTTGAACACATTTAAAGTTTCAAAAGTTGCCAGAACGACAAGATGCTGATGACTTGTTAAAAGGTTGATAATTGAATAAGTTTGACATGTTTTAAGCAGATGCTTTCAAAGATATCCATTTCTCCATGTTCTCCAGGAGTTAAATTAATTCAGATTTAATTCCCAAGAATATAATTATTAGGAGATGAGGATAATCGTATCTCCTAAGATGAAGTTTAAAATTGCATTGATTAAGTGGTATTTTCTCTATAAAAATCAAGCTCTGGGTAGAAAAAATAAGTAAAAAATAACTATATTTAAGTCACCCAAAATACTCTTAAAAACTAAATCAGTCCATTTCGACTATTGGAAAAAAACTGGAAAAATTGTATAACTTCACAATGTAATACATGCATAGATTAAAGTTGTTTTGAAACTACTTCCCAAAGAACTACATTCCTACAATTCATAAAAGTATCGCCTAGGGGGAGATATATATATATATGCAGATGTATATGTATCGTTGCAATATATTCTAATATATTCGTATTCATACGGTAACCTGGAGTTTATTCAAACCGAATACAGAATGCATAAAAGTAAGACGAAAGAGAATTTTTAAATCAAGTTAGAATATGGAAAGTGGAAATAGGAGTGAGGATAAGGAGAGAGGAGTAAGAATGAGAAGAGAGGTGTACGAATGATAAAGGAACAGTAAGAATAATGAGAGATGTAAGGGTGAAAGGATGATAAGAGAATAGAAAGGATGGTGAGATAGGAGTAAAGATGATAAGAGAGAGTCAGGATGATAAGAGAGTAGTAGGATAAAAAGAGATGAGTAAGGATGATCAGAGAGGAGTAAGGATAATGAGAGAGGAGTAAGGATGATCAGAGAGGAGTAAGGATAATGAGAGAGAAGTAAGGATGTTGAGAAAAAAGAGTAAGGATGATAAAAGAGGAGTAAGGATGATGAGAGAGGAGTAAGGATGATGAGAGAGCAGTAAGGATGATGAGAGGGGAGTCAGGATAAAAAGAGATGATTAAGGATGATGAGAGAGCAGTAAGGATGATGAGAGGGGAGTTAGGATAAAAAGAGATGATTAAGGATGATGAGAGAGATGTAAGGATGATAAGAGAGGAGATAGAATGATGAGAAATACTAAGAATGATGATAAAGAAGAAAAATAAGAAATAAAGGGCATATTGTTATATAAGAATAAATAAGTAGTAAATGGGAAAATATTGTGTTTTTCTCAGAAAATTCAATTCTAACAAATCCAAGAGATTTGCAGAGAAATGTTATTAGGAATACATTTATATTTATTTATCTTGCTTATGCAACCTTCTGGGACATCGAAAAGCTTTCTAAAGGAATTGAGTTTTTGCCACAAACTCTGATGTTTCAATCCTTATATCTCTGCAACCAGGTCCAGATGTCGTAGAACTTTGATGTTTTTAACTAAAAATTCTTATAAATCAACTAGTCCAAGTTTGAAATATCAAAGGTCGCAACAAAAAAAAATTTCTTTACCACATTTTTAAACATGTAATAAATAATTGATCATGTATTATTGATGGTATTAGTATTTTATCACATAAATAATTACATTAATTAGGTTTATGGTGTATCAGTAGCTCTTATTAATCAAGTCACAGGTTGATAAGGTGATAATTCATTTCAAGGACAAACCATGTAAAGATAGATTTTTCTCTTGGTCTAGTAATCCGTGAACCTAAACAATAAGGACCCCCCCCCCCATCCTTAACAGTATGGAGACCCTTATCCTATACAGTATGAAACCCCCTTATAAATTCTATAACAGTATGGAGACCCGTATCCATACAGTATGGAATTCCCTTATTAATTCTATAACAGTATGGAGACCCG